CGTTCCGGGAACCTGATGACAACTACACATGAGAAACCACCCTGAGGCACTGAGGTGTCTTTCGCGAGGTCTGCTGAGCGCCATGTGTTCTCAGTGTCCAACACAGGAAACTCCGGTCTAAAATTTTATGGGGTGGGGAGTCCTGGGAAGCAGAGAGACCGGGCCGCGGCTCGCGATGGGCTGCGGCCGCGGCCCAGCACAGGGAAAGCCCCGGGCCCAGGCTCCGGCTTCGGACCCGGCCCCTCCCGCAGGGTTTCGGGTCAGGAGCGCAGCACCCTGCTCCTCGGGGCTCCCGGGCTGACGCTGCGGCTCCCAGAGGCGCAGGAGCCCGGGTTTGGGGCGCTGAGACCCTGGTTCCCCTGCCTGTCAGGTTTGGGCCCAGGTCACTCTTCCTCCAGGGCCCCCGCCCTCCGCGCCTGTGCCTCCTCCTCCTCAGGCCAGGTCGCTGGAGTTTCTCTGCTCTAAAATACCAAGAACCAGCCCTAGCAGTGCCTTCCTCTGTGCTACCTTCCTTTGTAGACCAGGCCAAGTTGGCTAAAGATCCAGGAACAACTGACTCGGATTTTCCAATGGTCCAGTCTACTCCTGGGATTTTAAGAGTCCTTCTCAAAGGACAGCTTTTGTTTTATCCTTTACAATGCTCGACTCCTCTTTTATTTGCTTTTTAAGCTTTATTTATTGGGTCCTGACTGTGACACCTCTGCCCACCCTCATTCCAGGATAGAACCCAAGGCCTTTGCACTAAACTGTATTCCCGGGCCTTTTTAGTTTTTGAGACTGAAAAACTCGCTAAATTTCTCAGAGCGGGTATTAGCCAGTCCTGCCTCAGCCTCCCAGAGTCCAGGGTGGTTAGCGGTGTGTACCACTGCTGAGAGTTTAGGAGTCAGAAGTTAGCCTAGGCTAGATACAGTGGTAAAGGTGGTTTTCATCAAAAGCTTGTGTCAGGGTCAGTTGTCAGGGTCATCTCACAATAAACCTCCAACAGAAAGAAAGCCATCCATCTCCTCCTGGATCCCTTTGCAGTAAATGTTAAGACTTCGAAGAATGTTCTGTTTTTTGCCAACCCAGTGTCCTTTGCTCACAAAGTTCACCTTCTCCCCAACCTGAGGGCTCACAATTGGTAGTTTATTTTACAGTTGGTTGACTTGACTGGCACATGAGGTTCTTTATTTGGGATGTGAAAGTCCTTGGCCTTTGCTTCCAGGGAAGGACAATAGCCTCTAAGCAAGGGTCTGTGAGCTGCTTAGGACTCATTTTGCTGAGGCATTGTTTTAGTTCTTTCTGAAGACATTGCTCCTGATATATAATGCAGTCCAATCTTGTACATCACAATCGTTTTGAATGAAACCCTGAGTTTTCTACTAGTTTAGCTGCTAGCTAATGTTCCCAGCCACCCCACTGGGCCCAGACAGAAGAGCACCAGCAAGGGATTCACTTTCATGAGCCTTTTTAGGGCATCCTGACACCTACCATGTGTGAAAGTATGAGAGTTTAAAAAACCTTGAAGGGACAGGAAGCTCAGAAATCATGTGCCCAGCGGTCACACAGGGGAGGTCAGAGAGGGCAATTAGTGGAGTCTGGGGTTGAAGCTTCAGGGAATTTGCCTTTAGGGGATCCAGGGAATTATACAAACAGACTTCTCTTGAGGGGACTTTAATTGGTGGGTTTTAAGCAAGCAGGCACAAATTTCAAGAGGTCATTCTATGGCTGAGATGTAGTTGCTTTAAGTTCCTGGGAAATGTCTGGTTTATATAAAATAAGCAGTGGGAAAGAAGCGAAGCCTGCAGGTGGGAGAGCTGTCTCAAAATTTTTATCTCTGGCTACCACTGGAGCCACTAGAGTGGGTTTTGTTAGAGTTTTCTGGTGCAACAGAGAAGCAGAAGAAAGAAGAGAGTGAAAGTGGCTATTTATTTTAGGACATGGAGAGAGGAGAAGAGCCCACAACCGCAGCAGGGGTTTGGCTTTTTCCGTCTGACAGGATAACGAGGGTCAGAGGGTTAGATGACCTCTGGTCGGAAGTGGCCCATGGAGCTGGCATTGATGACCTGTGAGGCATTTTCTTGGCATACAATGGGGAAACAATTTTGGGCTGCAGGGGAAGAAGGAAGGTGTAGCCATCAGGGCAAGTGTTTCCACTTTGGCCTTCTGCCAAGTTAGACCATTGCTATAACTGTACAATAATTTATACCAGTGCAAGAACCTTTGAGGTATAGTACCAGAAACTATTGAGAGTGACTGCCCTGGTTTTGTCATGATAAAGCTAAATTATATCTTAAGATGGATGTTAAGGCAACATAAAATTCTAAGCACTCAGGCTGGGAATTACTTGAGTGGCTCAAGCACTTTCTTGCCTGGTAAGCGCAAGGTTGTGAATTCGATCTCCAGTTCCAACAAATAAATAAATAGATAGATACATACATAAAATTCTAATTGTTCTACACGTATCCTGAATTTGTGCACACTGAAAATCACTGTTTTGTGAAGAGTCATTGGCTCACATGTGAAAAATGTCTATTCAGAAACTGAGTATGTCATTGGACAGAGTTCTAGAATCTTCCTAAACCCATCATATTAGATAAAGTAATTTTCAGATTCACTGACTCCTTTCAACATTAAAGTACCTACAGCTGTTTAATTTTTTAAAATTTTAATAAAAAATTTAGTTTAGCCAGACATGGTGGGACATGCCTATAGTCTCAGGGCTGGCATGCCTGAGGCACAGGAACTGCCCAAAGTTTGAGACCAACCTGAGCTATATAGTGAGTTTGAGGGCAGCCTGGACTATCTAATGACACCTTATCTCAAAGAAAAGAAAAAAAAAGAAGACCTGATTATGAATTAGGCAGAGAAACAGACTAGCAAAAATAACTAAGAATAGAATAATTAGAACAAATACTACAACAAAAAGTATTTCAAATGTATAAATTGCTTATCTTGAGAATTTGCTAATTTTCAGGTTCGAGTTGCTTATGGGTGACTAAAACAGAAAAAAGTGAAACTGTGGGTAAGGGGACTTCCATAAAGTAAGGCAAAGGTCATCCATGAGACCTCAGTGGTTCATCCAGGGCAGCATTCAAAATCTGATATTGCTCATCCCCCAAGCACTCTCAGATCTATCAGAGGGTGGGTAACCGCCTTCCCTACTTTCACTCAATGTGGAAACCATGTGGGTACAGAATCTGAACGTGCCCATACATTTATTTCATAAGTATGAAATATCTTCATCTCTTTCTGGTTTAATGATGTTCAGTTCTCATCCTATGATCATAGAAGTATGCCAAGAGACTATCAGCTAACAGAAGATGATCTACAATATATCTTGTATATTTATGATCTTAGTAAGTGTGTTACTAATGAAAAAGAGTTCCAGGATACCCACTCATAACTGTGAGACAAGTGAAAGTGCAGAGAAGAGAAATATCAAGACAGTTTTTGGGAAACAAGACAGCAGCAGGAAGGTGAGAGACAGGGGGGTCAGCAGGAAGGGGGTCAGCAGCAGGAAGGGAGAAGAAGGGGATTCAGCAGGAGGAAGGTGAGAAGCGGGGGGGGGGGTCAGCAGCAGGAGGGGGCTCGGCAACAGGAAGGTAAGAAGCAGGGGCTTCAGCAGGAGGGGAGTTGGCAAGGGGGGACAGCAGCAGGAAGGTGAGAAGCAGGAGGGGGGTCAGCAGCTGGAAGGTGAGAAGCAGGAGGGGGGTCAGCAGGAAGGTGAGAAGCAGGAGGGTCAGCAGCAGGAAGGTGAGAAACAGGGGTGTCCACAGGAGAGGGGTCAGCAGGAGGGGGGTCACCCGGAGGGGGTGCAGCAGGAGTGGGGTCAGCATGAAGGTTCAGCAGCAAGAGGGGGGTCAGCAAGAGGGGGTCAGCAGCAGGAGGGGCTCAGCAGCAGAAAGGTGAGAAGCAGGGGGGTCAGCAGAAGGGGTGTCAACAGGATCAGGGTCAGCAGCTGGAGGGGTGTCAGCAGAAGGGGGGTCAACAGCAGGAAGATGAGAAGCAGGGGGGGTCAACAGCAGGAGGGGGGTTAGCAGGAGGGGGTCAGCAGGAGGGGTGTCAACAGAAGGGGGGTCAGCATCATAAGGGGAGTCAGCACCAGGAAGGTGAGAAGCAGGGGGGTCAGCAGCAAGAAGGGGGTCAGCATCAGGTGTGAGCCAGCATCAGGAGGTGGTGTGACATCAGGAGGGGGTCAGCAGGAGGAGGTGGGTCAGCAGAAGGGAGGTCAGCAGAAGGGGGGTCAGCATCATGAGGTAGGTCATCATGAAGGTGAGAAGCAGGGTGGTCAGCAGCAGGAAGTTGAGAAGCAGGGGGGTCAGCAGCAGGAGTGGGGTCAGCTGCAGGAAGGTGAGAAGCGGTGGGGGGTCAGCAGCAGGAGGGGGTCAGCAGAAAGGGGTCACCAGGGCTGGGTAACAGCAGAAAGGGGGTCAGCAGATGGTGGGTCAGCAGCAGGACGGGTTCAGTAGAAGAGCTGTCAGCAGCAGGGGGGTCGACAGGTCTAGGAGCCAGCAGGTTAAATTCACTAATCCAGTCCCTTAAAATCAATTCTAGACTTGGCTTTTCCCCCTCCCGATCCTTTGTTTATGGTACTTATGCTCAGGCTCCAATTTATAAGCCATTCTGGCAGCTTCCAGCTTAATATTAGACCACTATTACGGATCATTCAGAAAAACTATGATAGAAGTTGTAAAGCTCTGTTCTTCAAAACCACCAAACTTTCCATCTTTTCACAGATGAAACTGTGAAACTATGAAAGAGTATTTTGATGCACAAAAGTTTTAATGCACAACTTGAATGACTTCCACCTTCTCTATTGTGTTTTTTTCATTTGTTGGCTGAATTTTTGATGTTGTATCAAGAAATCACTGCCAAATCCAACGACACGATGGTTTCTACCCAAGTTATCCTTTGTGGGTTTTATGATTTTAGATCTAACATCTAAGCCTTTGTTCTAAATCTCTCCAGTTTTAGCTTCTGAGAGAGAGGGCCAGAGAGAGAGAGAGACAGAGAGAAAATTTTTTATATTTAAATTTCCTTTATTCTGTGGCTTGAAGATCTCCCAGGTTCTTTCCTAACCAGGCCACATGACATTGAAACCACTAAATGAGATCCGCCTCCCCATCCCGGCTGCACTTGGAGATCTGCTGAGCTTCCGACAGCTGGGCGGGCCCACACTATCCCCTGAGCCCAGCCTGTTGTGCTGCCACGCCTAGCCATCAGTGTGCAGAGGAGGAGCTGGGCAGATCTGGGGTGCCTGCATCGGCCCCTTCCTGTGTCTGGAGGACTGTGAATATCTCTGCAAGCAGGGAGGGATCGCAGGTTCCTGAGGCACCATGGCCTGTGGTGAGTACCCTAACCCGGCTGCGATTGAAGAGCTGTGGAGCTTCCAAGGGGCAGGTGGGCGCACAGTGTCCCTGAGGCCCAGCTTGTCTGGAACTGTGGAGTTCTGAGCAGGCAGAGGAGGGCTATTGGTTCTGCAGGCCCAATGGCTTGGGGTAGCGTGGTGCCAGAGTCACAGTAGCTGCAAACATAGAAGGGGATTTTCAACAGATCCTGAGAAAGCTTTCAAATAACACTTGAAACACAGAAATATAGGAAAACGACAAAACAAAAGACCAAATTACAACCTCAAAACTCCAGCCCATCTCAAGAAACCCTAGGAGGAATGTATTTAGAAGAAAATATATCCCATCCACCTCATATATCGGACACAATAGCTACTGAAATTGACAAGCAACTCCAGGAAGCTTTAAAGAAATTCAAACTTGAAAAAATCTCCCAGATAAAAGAAGAAATGATAAAAGAAATGAAAGAGATTCTGAATATATCTAAAGAAAACACAGATAAAAAATTGGAGGAACTAAACAAAAAGATAGAATCCCTAGACGAGCCATATAAGAAACAAACAGAATACATAATGCAGATGCACAGAGATACACAGGAAATAAAAAACTCCACTGAAAGTTGTAAAAACCGCTTTAATGAAAGTGAAGATAGAATTTCAGACCTTGAAGACAGGATTGCAGCTAGTGAACAGGAAAGGAAAGATCTTTTAAAAATAACAAGGAATCAGGAAACAACAATTCAACAATTGCAAGACGATGCAAAGAAGAATAACATAAGAATGATAGGGATTAATGAAAAAGAAGGAGACAACATAAAGGATGTCAAGAGGATATTTAGAGAAGTAATAGCTGAAAATTTCCCAAGCATGAGATCAGAAACTGACATTAGGATCAGTGAAGCATATAGAACTCCAAATAGTCATAACCAAAATAAAACTACACCCAGACATATAATAATCACCATCCCAGAAATCCAACACAAGAATAGATTATTAAAAGCTGTCAGAGAGAAAAGACAGATCACTTATAAAGGAAAACCTATCAGAATCACAGCAGACTTCTCATCACAAACAATAAAGTCAAGAAGAGCATGGAGTGAAGTATTCCACATCCTAAAGCAAAATGATTTCCAGCCTAGACTGATATATCCTGCAAAACTATCATTCAAAATAGATGGTGAAATACGATACTTCCATGACAAAGAACAGCTGAAGAACTTCATGAACACCAAACCAACCCTGCAAAAAATATTGAAAGACAGTTTAGATACACAAAGGAAAAAATCACTAAGCAAAGCAAATAATTAAACAGAACAGAAAGATAAAGATGCAACAGCAGAGAGATAACATTCCTAAAATTAACCAGCATTTAACAGTAATAACCATTAATGTAAATGGTCTCAATGCACCAATCAAAAGAAACAGACTAGCAGAATGGATCAAGAAACAAAATCCAACCATATGCTGTTTACAGGAAACCCATATAACCCAGAAGGATACTCACAGACTGAAAGTCAAAGGATGGAAAACAATTCTTCATGCAGCAGGAATCCAAAAAAAGGCAGGAGTAGCCATTCTGCTTGCAGACAACGTGAACTTTAAACCAACAATGACCATAAAGGACAAAGAAGGTCACTACATACTCGTAAGGGGAAAACTCCAAGAGGAAGAGATAACTATCTTAAATATATACGCACCAAACTCCAGAGCACCCAGTTATATAAAACAATTATTAACAGAAATGAAAACTCGGGGCTGGGGATTTAGCTCAGCGGCATAAGTGCCTGCCTTGAAAGCAGGCAGTCGTGAGTTCGATCCCTGGTACCGATAAAAACGAAAAAGCCAAAATAAATAAATAAATAAATAAATAAATAAATAAGAAATGAAAACTCAAATTATCAGTAACACAATTGTAACAGAAGACCTTAATACGCCATTGACACCAAGGGACAGATCAACCACACAGAAAATGGGCAAAGAAATAACAGAACTGAATCACACCTGTGAACAAATGGGTTCGATAGACATATACAGAATGTTCCACCCAACAACATCAGAATACACATTCTTCTCAGCAGTACATGGATCATTTTCTAAAATAGACCATATATTAGCTCACAGAACATATTTAAACAAATGCAAAAGAGCTGAAATCATCCCTTGCATGTTATCGGATCATAGCGCTCTGAAATTAGAAATTAATGATAAAAGATACTGCAAAAATCCCACAAACACATGGAAACTGAATAACACACTCTTGAGTAATCAGTGGGTCACAGAAGAAATTAAAGAAGAAATTAAACAATACCTAGAAGAAAATGAAAATGCAGATACAACTTACCGGAATCTGTGGGATGCAATGAAAGCCGTCCTGAGAGGAAAATTTATTGCACTGAGTTCCCACATCAGGAAAACAGAACAAATACAAATAAATAACTTGATGCTACACCTCAAACAGCTAGAAAAAGAAGGGCAAGTCAAGCCCAAAGCCAAAAGAAGAGAGGAAATTATAAAAATCAGAGCAGAAATCAATGCAATAGAGACTAAGAAAACAATCCAAAGAATCAACGAATCAAACAGTTGGTTCTTTGAAAGAATAAATAAAATCGATAAGCCCCTAGCCAAACTTATTTAAAAAAGGGAAGAAAAAGCTCAAATTCATGCAATAAGAAATGAAAAAGGAGAAATCACTACAGACCCAATAGAAATACAGAAGATCATCAACACCTATTTCGAAAACCTCTACTCTCAAAAGTTTGATAACACAGAAGAAATAGACAGATTCTTAGAAGCATATGAAGTACCAAAGCTAGATCAAGAGGATGTAAAACTGTTGAATAACCCAATCTCTGTTAATGAAATTGAAAATGTAATTAAGTCCTTACCCACCAAGAAGAGCCCAGGCCCAGATGGATTCACTGCAGAATTCTACAAGAAATACAAAGAAGACCTAATGCCGACATTCCTCAAACTATTCAATGAAATTGAAAGGGAAGCAATCCTTCCTAAGTCATTCCTGGAAGCAAATATTACTCTAGTACCAAAACCTGAGAAAGACCCAACTATAAAAGAGAACTATAGACCGATCTCCCTAATGAACACAGATGCAAAAATCCTCAATAAAATATTGGCAAATAGGATCCAGCAAATCATCAAGAAGATTATACACCATGACCAAGTGGGATTCATCCTAGGAATGCAAGGATGGTTCAACATACGCAAATCAATAAATGTAATCCACCATATCAATAAAGTCAAAAATAAGAATCACATGATCATTTCTATAGATGCAGAAAAAGCCTTCGATAAGGTCCAACATTTATTCATGATAAAAACTTTACAGAAAATTGGAATAGATGGTCTTTACCTCAATATAATAAAGGCCATTTATGACAAACCAACAGCCAGCATCATACTAAATGGCCGAAAATTGAAAGCCTTTACTTTAAAATCAGGCACAAGAGAAGGATGTCCTTTATCACCACTCCTATTTAATATAGTACTGGAAGTACTAGCCAGAGAAATTAGGCAAGAAAGAGAAATAAAAGGGGTAAGGATAGGAAAAGAAGAAGTTAAATTATCATTGTTTGTAGATGACATGATACTCTACATAGAAGACCCCCTAAACTCCATTGAAAGACTCTTAGATACAATAAATAAATTCAGTAATGTGGCTGGATACAAAATCAATACTCAGAAATCAATAGCATTCCTATACACGAACAACAAAATCACAGAGAGGGAAATAAGAGAAACTGGACTATTCACATTAGCAACAAAAAAATGAAATATTTAGGAATTACTCTTACAAAAGAAGTGAAAGACTTATACAGTGAAAATTATAATACACTGTAAAAGGAAATTGAAGATGATCTCAGAAAATGGAAAGACATCCCTTGCTCATGGATAGGAAGAACAAACATTGTGAAGATGGCCATTCTCCCAAAACTGTTATACAGATTCAATGCAATCCCAATAGAAATACCATCAACATACCTTATAGATCTAGAGAAATCACTCCTAAATTTCATCTGGAACCAGAAGAGACCTAGAATCGCAAAGGCAATTCTAAGCAGCAAAGACAAAGCAGGAGGCATCACAATCCCTGACTTGAAGTTATACTACAAAGCAACAGTAGTAAAATCAACATGGTATTGGAATCAAAACAGAGCCGAAGATCAATGGAATAGATTAGAAGATACAACCACAACTACAAACACACTCAACCACCTTATCTTTGATGTAGGAGCCATTCAGGTTCACTGGAAGAACGACAGTCTCTTTAATAAATGGTGCTAGAAAAACTGGCTCTCCATTTGCCAAAAACTAAAGCTAGACCCATGTCTATCACCATGTACTAAATTAAAATCTAAATGGGTCAAAGATCTGAATATTAAAACAGAAACACTAAATCTATTGGAAGACAAATTGGGTAGAAACCTTGGAGACATAGGAGTAGGTAGAGAATTCATGAACAGGACTCAAACCGCATGGGAAATACTTCCCAGAATCAATAACTGGGACCACTTCTTATTAAAAAGTTTCTGCATGTCAAAAGAAATATCCAGCATAGTAAAAAGATAACCCACAAACTGGGAAAAGATTTTAGTGAACTCTCTCTCAGACAAGGGACTCTTGTCTAAAACATATAAAGAATTAAAAAAACTCAGACCCCAAAATTCAAAGATCCAATCCAAAAATGGGCATCTGAGATGAATACGCAATTCTCAGATGAAGAAATGCAAATGGCAAATAAATACATGAAAAAATGCTCATCATCATTGGTCATTAGAGAAATGCAAATTAAAACCACACTGAGATACCATCTCACTCCTGAAAGAATGGCCAGGATCAAGAAAACCAACAACAAATGCTGGAGAGGCTGTGGGGAAAAAGGAACTCTCCTGCACTGTTGGTGGGAGGGTAGACTGGTACAGCCTTTGTGGAGGTCTGTCTGGAGATTTCTCAAAAAGTTGGGACTGGAAATCCCATTTATTCCAGCTATTCCACTTCTAGGCATATTCCCAGAAGAACTGAAAGCATCATACCACAGTGATATATGTGCACCTATGTTTATAGCAGCACAATTTGTAATCACCAGATCTTGGAAACAACCCAAGTGTCCATCAACTGAGGAATGGATAAAAAAGTTGTGGTATTTCTATACAATGGAGTAT